TGATGATGGTGATGACGATAATGATGACGACGATGAAGATGATGATGCTGATGATGATGATGATTTTGATGATGCTCCTGATGATGATAATGTTGATGCTGATGGTGACGATGATGCTGCTGGTGCTGCTGCTGCTGCTGATGATGATGATGATGATGATGATGATGCTGATGATAATGATATTGAGGGTGATCATGAGGATGTTGAACGACGTGACGCTGCTGCTGCTGCTGCTGATGATGATGATGATGATGATGATGGTGGTGGAGGGAACACGAGTAGAAACATCAGCAGGAGGGGTAGCAGGTCAGGAGGAGCAGCAGCGGCAGGAGGGAAGAGGCGTGAACGGGGGCGATCCTCGATCGTCGACCCTTGCTACTCGATCTTCCGATCCTCGCTCCTCGATCGTCGATCCTCGACCCTCGACCCCGATCCTTGACCCCGACCCTCGATCCTCCCTCGGTTCTCAATCCTCGATCCTCGGTTCTCGATCCTCGCTGCTCCACGCAGTCATTCTCAGCCTCCAGACGAGGCCCGCGGCCCCCGTTTTTCCGCACAGAGGAGGCTGCCTGTCCGCGATGGAGCCGGGCTACGACATCTACGAGTACAGCCGGCGCGGCCACCTTGACGATCTCCGCGAGGCGCTGGCCGCGGGCACCAGGCCGGATGAATACATGGCCTACGACGGCTCCACTGCGCTGGTCGTCAGGGGCAGCGTTTGGGGGCTGGGATGGGCTCAGGGCAGGATGCATCGGTCCCCGATCGCCCACTCATCGCCGATCGGGCCCCGATGGCCCATCCCGCCCCAGACCGTGGGGATTCGCCATCGGGAGGGCCTGTCGCCGATCTATTGGCGATGTATCGTTGGTTCCAGCTCGATGTATCCCCTCCCCCCCTGAGCCAGTCCTCCTAACGTTGCCCCTCAGGTCATGGGCGCGCGCCAGGGCCACGCGCCTGTCGTGCGCGAGCTCGTGAAAGCCGGCGCCTCCACCGCGATCCGGACGGAGGAGGGCTCCACCATTCGGGTGCCGCTATTGGGGGGCCCTGCTCCAAACCTGACATTCTTTCGTTGTGGGGAAATCAGCACGGACAGTTTTTGTTCCCAACCATCTTGTGGTGTTGGGTCCTCGTTTTGAAGAGACGGTCCCCGCGTCCTCCTCTCCTCTCCTCTCCTCTCCTCTCCTCTCCTCTCCTCTCCTCTCCTCTCCTCTCCTCTCCTCTCCTCTCCTCTCCTCCTCCTCTCCTCTCCTCTCCTCTCCTCTCCTCTCCTCTCCTCTCCTCTCCTCTCCTCTCCTCTCCTCTCCTCTCCTCTCCTCCTCTCCTCTCCTCTCCTCTCTCCTCCTCTCCTCTCCTCCTCTCCTCTCCTCTCCTCTCCTCTCCTCTCCTCTCCTCCTCTCCTCTCCTCTCCTCTCCTCTCCTCCTCCTCCCCCTCCTCCTCCCTCCTCCCCCCTCTTCCCTGCGTTTCACCCACCCAGTACAGCGTTTCGTAGCCCCATAGGAGCTCCACCGAAGGCCCCAGTGCTGCCGCCCGCATGCGTCACGCACACCCAATTCGGCACACCCCTCACACGTTTCGTGGCTCCATAGGGAGCTCCACCGAAGGCCCCAGTGCTGCCGCCCGCATGCGTCACCCACACCCATTCGGCACACCCCTCACACGTTTCGTGGCCCCATAGGAGCTCCGCCGAAGGCCCCAGTGCTGCCGCCCGCATGCGTCACCCACACCCAATTCGGCACACCCCTCACACGTTTCGTGGCCCCATAGGAGCTCCGCCGAAGGCCCCAGTGCTGCCGCCCGCATGCGCCGCCCGCATGCGTCACCCACACCCAATTCGGCACACCCCTCACACGTTTCGTGGCCCCATAGGAGCTCCGCCGAAGGCCCCAGTGCTGCCGCCCTTAGCGTCACGCACACTCAATTCGGCACACCCCTCGCACGTGTCGTGGCCCCATAGGGAGCTCCGCCGAAGGCCCCAGTGCTGCCGCCCGCATGCGTCACCCACACACAATTCGGCACACCCCTCACACGTTTCGTGGCCCCATAGTAGAAGCTCCGCCGAAGGCCCCAGCGCTGCCGCCCGCATGCGTCACCCACACCCATTTCGGCACACCCCTCACACGCTTCGTGGCCCCATAGGGAGCTCCACCGAAGGCCCCAGGGCTGCCGCCCGCATGCGTCCCCTACACCCATTTCGGCACACCCCTCACACGTTTCGTGGCCCCATAGGGAGCTCCACCGAAGGCCCCAGTGCCCGCGCCCGCATGCGTCACCCACACCCATTTCGGCACACCCCTCACACGTTTCGTGGCTCCATAGGGAGCTCCACCGAAGGCCCCAGTGCCCGCGCCCGCATGCGTCACACACACCCATTTCGGCACACCCCTCACACGTTTCGTGGCTCCATAGGGAGCTCCACCGAAGGCCCCAGTGCCCGCGCCCGCATGCGTCACCCACCCCCATTTCGGCACACCCCTCACACGTTTCGTGGCTCCATAGGGAGCTCCACCGAAGGCCCCAGTGCCCGCGCCCGCATGCGTCACCCACACCCATTTCGGCACACCCCTCACACGTTTCGTGGCCCGCATAATAAGTCCGCCGAAAGCCGCAGTGCTTGCATCCGCCATGCTCATAGACGCACACCAATCCGGCCCACCCCTTCACACTTTCGTGGCCCAATAGGAGCTCCGCCGAGCCCCGTGCTGCCGCCTCGTGCTCATGCGTCACGCCACTCAATTCGGCGCACCCCTCACACTTTTCGTTGCCCCATAGGGAGCTCCGCCGAGCCCGCCCCCAGTTCTTGCCGCCCGCATGCGTCACACAACACCTTCGATTCGGCACCTCCCTCACACGTTTCGTGGCACCATATGGCGCTCCGCCGAAGCCCCAGAGGCTGCCGCCCGCTGCGTCCACCCACACCCAATTCGGCCTCAACCCCTCACACGTTTCGGGCCCCACATAGGAGCTTCGCCGAGGCCCCATTGCTGCCGCCCGCATGCTTCAACCCACGACCCAATTCGGCACACCCCTCACACGTTTCGTGGCTCCATAGGGAGCTCCGCGGAAGGCCCCAGTGCTGCCGCCCGCATGCGTCCCGCACACCCATTTCGGCACACCCCTTACACGTTTCGTGGCCCCATAGGGAACTCTACCGAAGGCCCCAGTGCTGCCGCCCGCATGCGTCACGCACACTCAATTCGGCGCACCCCTCACACGTTTCGTGGCCCCATAGGGAGCTCCGCCGAAGGCCCCAGTGCTACCGCCCGCATGCGTCACGCACACCTAATTCGGCACACCCTCACACGTTTCGTGGCCCCAAAGGGAGCTCCGCCGAAGGCCCCAGTGCTGCCGCCCGCATGCGTCCCGCATATTCATTTCGGCACACCCCTCACACGCTTCGTGGCCCCGTAGGGAGCTCCGCCAAAGGCCCCAGTGCTGCCGCCCGCATGCGTCACGCACACCTAATTCGGCACACCCTCGCACGTTTCGTGGCCCCAAAGGGAGCTCAGCCGAAGGCCCCAGTGCTGCCGCCCGCATGCGTCCCGCACGCCCATTTCGGCACACCCCTTACACGTTTCGTGGCCCCATAGGGAACTCTACCGAAGGCCCCAGTGCTGCCGCCCGCATGCGTCACGCACGCCCACTTGGGCACGCCCCTCACACGTTTCGTGGCCCCATAGGGAGCTCCGCCGAAGGCCCCAGTGCTGCCGCCCGCATGCGTCACGCACACCTAATTCGGCACACCCTCACACGTTTCGTGGCCCCAAAGGGAGCTCCGCCGAAGGCCCCAGAGTGCTGCCGCCCGGATGCGTCCCGCACACCCATTTCGGCACACCCCTCACGCGTTTCGTGGCCCCATAGGGAATGCGTCCCGCACACCCATTTCGGCATACCCTTCACACGTTTCGTGGCCCCATAGGGAGCTCCACCGAAGGCCCCAGTGGGTGTGCCCGCATGCGTCCCGCACATCCATTTCGGCACACCCCTCACGCGTTTCGTGACCCCTCACACGTTTCGTGGTCCCATGGAGCTCCACCGAAGGCCCCAATGGGTGTGCCCGCATGCGTCCCGCACACTCATTTTGGCACACCCCTCACACGTTTCGTGGCCCCGTAGGGAGCTTAGCCGAAGGTCCCAGTGCTGCCGCCCGCACGCGTCCCGCACAGCCATTTCGGCATACCCTTCATACGTTTTGTGGTCCCAAAGGGAGCTCCGCCGAAGGCCCCAGTGGGTGTGCCCGCATGCGTCCCGCACACTCATTTCGGCACACCCCTCGCGAGTTTCGTGACCCCTCACACGTTTTGTGGTCCCATAGGGAGCTCCACCGAAGGCCCCAGTGGGTGTGCCCGCATGCGTCCCGCACACCCATTTCGGCACACCCCTCGTACGTTTCGTGGCCCCGTAGGGGGCTCCACCGAAGAAGATATTCACAACTGCGGTACTCACAATTGCATATGGTTGGGTCCTTCGCCAGGATATTTTTTGCTTGGCTTCCAGGGGCCCCCACAGGGTCCCGAGACCGTCCAAAAACGGTTCAGGATGAATAGCTGGTCCCAGGGAAGGGATCCAGTTTCTGGGGAGCCACGTTGTGACAAAAATCTCGACAGAGGATGCCTGGATGGTGTCCTCCGCTTTTCGCGCTCTCTTGGAGCCCCCAGGGGTCCTTTGGGCCTCGTCGAGGGGGTGCTCGTGAGGGGCCATCTGGGCCTCCCATGGAAATCCTAGGGACGCCCCGCAGGGCTCGTTTCGATTCCTCCAGTTCGATTCGATTCGACTTCGATGGCTCCCGATTCCGATTCGATTCGACTCGGAATTCCGATTTGGGTTACGATTTTTCATTGGAGGCATACCAGCCCCTTCAGATTTCCGCCGGTTCGACTTTTACCGACTCGGCTGCCGATTTCCGCCGATCCGATTCATGTCGATCGCCGATCCGACTTGTCGATTCGATTCTGGGCGCTCGTAACCCTGGGCCAGAGACGCCTCTGGCAGCACCCGAGCCATGCTCCACCACGCCGTCGCGGGTGGCTCCGCAGATGTCGCCAGGGCCATGCTGGAGGCCATCGAAGAATCGAAGAAAACAACACATAAACATAAACTTTCGGCGCCCCGCGCGGATTTCTCGGATCCGCGCTGGGGCTCCTTGGCGGCGCCTCCTGCGCCGCCCCTGGCGCGCTCCGCGCTAGGGAGGGGGGCCCAGCGCAAATCCAAGAAATCCGCGGGGATCGTCGAAACTTTTTGTGTTTATGTATTAACCTCTTCCTCTAAAGGGGAGAAGCACTGCATAGACATCAACTTTCGGAGCTCCGCGCAGATATTGGGTTGGCGCTGGGCCCCGCTGGCGGCGCTTCCAGCGCCGATCCAAGAAATCCGAGTGGACCTCCGAAGAGTTGTGTGTTGTGCAGCTTTTTGTTACTCCGAGGCCGGGTTGGCGGTCGACGAGCCGAACGAGGACGGCGTTACGCCTCTCCTGCTCGCCGCCCACTACGGCGCCGAGGCGGTCGCCAAGGTCCTGTGCGAGGCGGGCGCGGACGTCAACCACTGCGCCGAGGGCTGGGGTACGCCGCTGGACGGGGCGCAGGGTGCCATGGTTGGCATGCTGGAGGCAATGGGCGCCAAGAGGTCGGAGCAGGGGGCTGACCAGCCCATGGCCGTTGCGGCGGAGAGGCTCTCAGAGGAGGGCGATTTGAGACAAACGGTAGTCGGCCTTCGGGGGGCCCCCTCGTCGCCACGGCTGGACGCAGCATGGAAAGCTGGTGCGCTTGGGCCCTGGGCGGGGTCCTGGGACCGATTCCGAGCTGCCGTTGACTCCACTCGCCATGCTCCGAGGTTCAGCTACGGGTGCTTCGACACGGGCGAGAACCCCAACGTCAGGCCGGACCTGGCACCGCCCAGGGACCCGGGCCCGCAGCAGGCGGTGCTGTCCAGCGGGAGGCCCAAGGTCGGCGACTCCGTGCGGCTCAGGGCGCCCAAGGCGGGGCTGCTCCAGGAGGGCGACGTGGGGACGGTGGCCGAGGACGACGGTTCCGACTGCATCCCGCTGAAGGTGAAGCTGGGAGATGCGCACGACTATTACGACGTGCAGGATGTGGTCGTCTGCGAGCCCAAGGTTGACCTCGGGCCGGACTCGGACCGAGCAACGCCAGAGGGCACTGCAAGACGCGCCACTTCAAGGAAGCTCCATTCCGCCAGGCCGCTCGGCTCAACTGGCCTCACCGTGTCGCCAGCAGGGTTCGGCTGCCACCGAATCGATGGGGAGACCACCCAGGCAGATGCGCTGAAGCTCGCCATACACTTGGGTTGCAATCTGGTCGACCTTGCACCGAACTACACCGACGGGAAGGCGGAGGAGGTTGCGGGCAAGGTGCTTAAAGAGCTTTTCGATGCCGGCAAGGTACGGCGGGACGAGATTATCATTGCCACCAAGGTCGGCAACGTGCTCGGCCAGCAGATGCAGCATGCAGCAGGCGTGCCGAACATGGCGGTCGTCAACGATAATCTGTGGCACTGCATCTCCCCAGAGTGGATCGAGCAGGAGCTCACGAGGAGCTTGGAGCGACTCCAGCTACAGTGTGTGGACTGCCTGCTGCTGCACTGCCCAGAGTACGAGGCCAAGGCGAGCGGCACCGACATGGC